TGTAGTGCCCACATGTGCAGTACTATGTACGGGTCAATTCAAAAGAGGATTGGCTATCGCAGGAGTGAGCTCACTGCGGTCGTTGTTAAATGAGGCCCTCCACGTCGTGAAGCTAATCGTGTGTATCGGCCAGCTTGATGAACCGGCACGCGTCAGTTCACAGAGCATTCATCAGCTCTTCTGAGCATTTTGAGAGAGTTCCTCAGAAACTCATAAGATGTAGCCAACTAACAACACAACACGAATGAGAATGGCAAAGGGACTGATATGATATTTCAATCTACCCATTCGCTTGATTAGACAACTCGGTAGGAAACACGGAGGAGAGCTGGAATCACCAAGGCGGCAAGAACCAACCCAGCAGCCATCAAATGTGGTATAGCAGATGAATGGCGATTCCAAAATTATGCCACAATTATCTAATTTGGACCTCTTTAAATCATCGTGGTTGTTGCTACATGGGCAAATCCTTGAGCGTCATCGTAGTGCAAGTAAGGAAGTGATCGTTCGCTACAGCTTCACCACAAACAGTCACAAGATCCCAACCGCTGGTGATGCTGAAAAATTTGAGAAGACCACTACCGATAAAAGATGTAGTAAAAAGAGGTACTTGACGAAGCAAGTCAACAACTATAACAGAAATATGAAACTCCCTCAAATGTAATCCACCACCATAACCATCTTTGTGGCGTATGGCAACGCAAGCTAGAGCATCCGTGTTAGCAATAAAGCGACAATGCTCAGCTCCTTCCACGATTGTTACAAATACATTATCATTCTCGCGATATTGCACCTCTTTCCCATCGACGATGAACACAAACTTATGATTTCTCTCATCAGATGGGTCCGCGAGGACATCAAAAGAATCCACTTCATCGCTGTCCACAGCGAATTGCCGATTCCAGTGATACTGAGTACTACGAATATCACACGAGAACACGATAGAGTCACCGAGTGTTAAGAGGAATATGAAACCACTCGAGATGGTCAATCCATTGATGATATCCTCACCTTCTTGAAAAGGTAAAGGGATGTCGGCCAATGCCTTGCCATTTTCAGCAATGGAAAATCTCGCAAGGCGAAGATTCAGCAGATCCACGGCGTATATTATGAAGCCCTCAGTAGCGAGGAAGGCCATACGACCATGAATGAGGACCTCGGCGACTGGCTTGTTGAAGTCGTTGGCCGCGAAGGCTCGTAGTATTGAATGTTCTGTTATGCATTCGCATGTGAGAAAATGGTGATCTCCGAGGGAAGTTATCGCATCCATATAACCAGCCTTAGTAAGAGTGCTCTCGATTGAGATAGCCGTTGGTAACGGGAAACGTATGAAGCACCAAATTGGCCATCGCAATTCTATGCAGAGACGCTTGCTGGTACGACGCTCGAGCATAAGGAGTTGCAGCGACAGTCTTTGCCGACGCGAGGCGCAGCCAGAAGACATTGATGACCACACACTCCAAACTATCAAAATCTCCACTGAGGAGCTCTCAGCATGAACACAACAGCTCAGCTTCGGGAGCACACACTGTTTGAAGAGTTCAGGATTATTATATCATAGTAACAGCAGGAATGTGCATCAAAGAGAGGACCAGAAGCTTCTGTAATTGGGCAGATGTCCCATCAGCTGAGCTCCGGGGAACCGGAGGAAACTGCAGAGAATAGTCTCAACAAATCCGCGTTGTTCTGGAGTGAGTGAAAGTATGTCTGTTGGTGGGGGCTCATAGGCCACTCGGACCGCGGTGGGAAGAGTGAGATCTTCGAACGCCTTGAAAACATTGAGCTCCGCTTCCCTCAAGTCGGTCGGCAGGAGAATAACAACCCCAAGCAGTGAAACCAGGAGGGCCTCAACAGAACCGTCATGGGTTGCTACCTGGGGAACGAACTCCCTACCACCAATAGCTAATACAGGCTTACAACTTCTTCCGGTGTGTATTCACGTCGTAACAACTGCTCCTTAAGGCGTCTATCAGCGTCCCAGTCGAACTGCTCAAATGATCGGTATGGTAGAGTCCTCAAATGTTCAACCCAACGGCTCGACAAACCAACCCGATCGGCACCCGTGACCAGCGTCATCAGATACCTACGGTTGACGTGCATCGAAAAGACCCAATAATGATAATGATGATTCAGCTGAGAATCTTCTGAAGGGACGGAGAGGCCTAATCGTTACCCCATAATCCCACCCAAGATTGATGATGACCTCACTAAGACCTATTTTTTCACCTGGAATAACCCCTCCCCCTCTCTTGTTTACCTCCGACCAGGCAGACCATCCTCTAAAATAGAGACACTCGGAAAGGACTGGGTCTGTATATACACCATAGAGGGTATAGGCTTTAGAGAGGCGTCATAGGGGACGACTACGCTCCATCTACGATCATATGATGGACCCTCGCGCTTATCAAGCTCTTCTAGGCCTACTCTGGGGAACCATACGACAACACCATGAACCTGTTGAGAACGTCAACGGTGATAACGATGAAGTGAGAGCGAGCTCACCTTCGAGCCTTCCTTCGGACGGATGTTACCGTAATGACCCTCATAGGCGACCGTGTGAACTGGCGCTGAGTTGAAGACCAACTCGTAATCTTCCAGGGTCTGAGGCTCGGTTACATTCGGATGGAGAATGGTAAAAAATGTTAACTACCGCTTTGACAGGCTCCTTGTCCGAGACCGCCACCCCTCTACTCCTCAGCGACGCTCGGCTCATATTAGCACCGAAGGAGAATACTGGAACTTCATCATCACCTGCCGGAATGGGCTCACGAAAGCCCAGCGGATGATTAAATACATGTATCATTGAAAAAACAAAACCTTTGCCGAATCGGAAGAATCAACCACACGAACCACCCACTGAAGAAATTCAACTTTCGAGTGGTGCAATATCCACAACAGTAACTCGCTATCCACTGCATGACCACTAGTAACCTAGCTGCTACCAGAGCTCGTATGCTGCATGTATGCGTTATATAGTATATACCATAAACCACAAATATCACAGAGGGCACGACTTCGTAGGAGAGGGTGAGCATGAGCTCAGAGCGTCCGTCCAGGAGCCGATTAAAGTGCTCTGATTTCCGAGTCCAAGTTCTCGGAAAAGCGGCTTTTCCGTGCTCGGATAAAAACTACAAATTAAAGTGCGTTCGAAATTCTGAGCTTTTCCCGAGCTCGGAATCCGTGTTACTCGGTTCCGAGTAACGCCAGGACATACGCCAGAGATTGTAGCAATTGCGGTGGCGATATGGATCTCATGTTGCTCTTAATCCACCTGTATTTTGTAAAGAGTCAAGACTCTCCCAACTAAAGACTGCAGTCGCTGACCGTGATAGAACGACTGACGGCAATCGTGTTTATTGCCGTACTCTCGAGTGGCTTCATAGGAAAGAAAGGCCACCGCGATATGTCGATGACAAGGATGCAAGCCGTCGCACTCACGTGATCACAGAGGATATCCATGCTTTTCCTTCGCTCCATCGCCTCAACAATTCATCGCTTATACGGCTCAATCGTCCAGGCACTCCAAGACACTTTGGGTGAGATCACAACGCCGGACCGGAACCCAGCATCGTTGTGAGGAGCTGACTATAGTTGGATCACTTACCTATCGGGATAAAACCAAACGCTCCATATCGAGAACCGAATAGAGTCCTACAATCTCCCCCCACATACGTGCTCTGTTGAGATGGAGCAATAGACCGAATTCTAATACATCGTGTATGAATGTCCCACCGAGACCGACTTGAAGTCTAACTAAGCCATACATACAGAATGCTTCTGCGTTACATAGCTTCTCGATAGTCATTCCATCCAGTGTTGACCAATAAATTAACGAAGACCGTCTTATTACCACTCTCAGAGGTTCCCTTTACCCGGTCTCTGCAACGTCGGGAATCAATACTCCTATTAGGCCCGGACGAGAATACCGTAAGCTTGACGAACTCCCTGTACACCATCCATGGGTGGAAGAAGAGAATAAAAGGACTCTGGTAATGAGTCTACACCTTTTAAACATCTAGTTCGTCTTTGGAACCATCAATTTCGTCGGGACGCACGAAGTTGGAGGTACGAATCCGAAACGGGCAGATCATATTCGCAATTAGAACTTTCAACTTCGTCATAGAACTTTCAAGTTCGTCCGAAGTCGATAGGAAGTTCAAGTTCGTTCTAATAGAACTTTCAATTTCGACTCTCGAACCTTCGAGTTCGTCATAGAACTTTCAACTTCGTCGAGTACACCTTTGGAACTTCAATTTCGTCCCTTTAGGAAAATCGACTTCGTCGTTCGGAACTTCAATTTCGTGTTACCGGGGCAATTATGCCAGTACTCTCATGGTGAGGCTTATGATTAGTGCTCGCGGTACACAACCGAAGTAGTACTACAGCAACAACGAAGGCACTATTGAAAATCCTCATATCAATGTCATCATGACATTCTCATGTGACTTCTCATTCATGTGACATTGTCATGTCACATGAATAGTGCGGCCAGCCAGTAGCTGGCAGCCACTCATATGACTGGCTCGATCAAGAAAACGACATAGTCAACCACCGGCAGGCATGTATTCGTGGTTGATTGCTTTACTCAACAACCCAATAGCATGCCCGCATGATGCCCACGGACGAGTGACACGGTCAGCAAAACACGAGCCTCACCATGAGAGTACTGGCATAATTGCCCCGGTAACACGAAATTGAAGTTCCGAACGACGAAGTCGATTTTCCTAAAGGGACGAAATTGAAGTTCCAAAGGTGTACTCGACGAAGTTGAAAGTTCTATGACGAACTCGAAGGTTCGAGAGTCGAAATTGAAAGTTCTATTAGAACGAACTTGAACTTCCTATCGACTTCGGACGAACTTGAAAGTTCTATGACGAAGTTGAAAGTTCTAATTGCGAATATGATCTGCCCGTTTCGGATTCGTACCTCCAACTTCGTGCGTCCCGACGAAATTGATGGTTCCAAAGACGAACTAGATGTTTAAAAGGTGTAGCTGAGGAGGACTAAAATGAACATACCCTTGAGCCGTTATTAAATTGAACAACTCGGCACTCAAACATGATGAACGGAAACGGCCAAGAATGGTACCAGTAATAACAAGGGCATTGCTCGACTCAGTCGAAATCCGGTTCCAAAATAACGGCAACATTATTGCCACCGAAACGCATGCTTGCGAGGAGACGGCCAGAGCCTATTGCATCCAACTGCTGAATCGAGGCTTCCCGGCCGATAGCGTTCTTGTCGAGTTGAGTCAGATTGTGCGAGGGTGTGCCGTATCTCCAAGCAAAGACCTGTGTGGTGAGGAGGACGATGTAAAGCATCGAAAGATGACCATCAAAAGCGAGGCAAGTCGGCCTGCACAAACCGCTCAAAACGACTTCACCTGGGCTCTCGGGATGCTCAGTATCAAACTGCACAATTCTGTTATTCGAAGTATCGGCTACCAAAATGAACTTGTCATCGACGAGAACGGCGTCCGAGGGGAAAGCCAACCGTGGAGAGGAGGAGGAGGAAGAATCAACAGTGTCGTAGAGACATACAGAGCCACCATCGATGACTTCAGTCACTCTACAGCTGAAAGTATCACACACGATAGTTCCGCGTTGACGCTGTATTGCTGAGAACACCGTCCGAGGTGCATTCCGTACAGTGTTGGCTGGGAACAACAGGTCGTACACGGGATCATCATGGAGCTCGTGGACAACGTCCCCCTCATCATTGATATATGTACGACTGAGAAGCTCTCCTGTCGTCGCTCGGAATCTACCAATGGAGCCGTCCTTGAATGTGAAAGACCCTATGAGGGTGGGAACGTCAGGATACTTGTCTAAATACCGCTTCACAGGGCGCAACCGAGTAGGAAGGCCAGATTGTGCCAAGTACGACCATACGACCATTTTGATATCACTACCATAGTTATCAGCGCTACTATTCAGAGCCATCAATAAGGTACACATCTGTGGTATCCTTCGCTCGTACACTGGCCTGTCTTCTGGCTTGGATACGATGGTATTACAAACTATCAGTCTTGTTAAAAAAGATACGCCACGTTCTAGCAGGTATGGGAGATCATTTAGTAGAAGAGAACTCATCGGCAACAGCGTGTGACGCGAGCATCGACGAGATGTGACATTACGCCGATCTTGCACATAATGGAAAAATGATATCCAAAACGACACCTGGGAGATTCGAACTCCCGCGGGCAGAGCCCAACGGCTTAGCAGGCCGCCGCCTTAACCACTCGGCCAAAGTGTCTGATAAAATGTGTATAATCATGCCACCGCTGTATAGTATAAATTGATGGCATGATACAGATATGATGTTGTATATAGTATCCGCGTATCTAGAGATTGCCGGTCTAATTTCGTGCAATGACCTCGACGTATTGATGCTTCCCTTAGCATGTTGAATATTATTTGTAAGTTTAGCAACATTCGATAAGACTTTCATTTTGAAGAGATTATTCTTCCAGGTCGAACCCACGACCAGTAACACAAGTCAGTAGATAGATCAAACCTCATAGTCAACTATTATGAACTAAGAAATAGTACTCGAACTACAAGGCTTAGTCATTTGCTTTCGGAATAGCCTCACTGCTGAGTTCTGGGGCTATCATCGACAAACTAAATGCATTCTAATGCAAACTAAGCCTAGTAAATGACTTATGTATATCAAGCAATAGTTGCGCATGAGCGACTTAAAAAAGTGCATAGAACACCGAGAACAGGAAGACGGCAGTAAGACTGTTGCCAACAGGCCCAGCCGCCGACGTCTTAGGAATACAATCGTCCCCGCCAACCGAACGAGATTCCCTTGCGGGAATGGTGGGCTTACTCAGAGCGACTTCGACGGCTTTTGCAGCATTCAATCGACCGAAATAAGGGTTCTTGCTTCCAAGACCAGTAGTGAGAACATCAGTGGATGCCAGAATAGAATTACTCACATCCTCTCTAGAAAGACCCAAGG